TGATAAATAAAAGTTAGGTACCCGAGCTTTAATAATCTAGATTAAAATGCATTAGCAAAAGCAAGTAGTGATAAAAGCTTGTTTTGTCCACGGTCTTATTTGCTCTGTTTGATCTGCTAATCTCTGATACAGAAAGCTCATATCTGTACCCAGTACCGAGATTAGTTTTAGTATTTCTAAACTAAATTATGAGCGGTTCAATATTGACCCTGAACAAATAAATGCTTCAAAAGGACAAATTAGTACTGATGTGATAGAAATAACAAGTTTAATTTATCAGTACATGATTTTGAGAAGACCTCGAAGGCTTTACTGAAAATGAAAGGACACTCACATGCTTGCAACCTATAGATAAAACAGTCAAATTTCTAAATATTCTAATTTTCTGATTTCTGGTTTTATTTGCGTTACAAGCTGTGAGCCAATGATCAACATTAAAACAAATAGAGGAATGATATATGTAAATTTGCAACTGATGTGTCTGCTTTATAATAGTTTCACATTTTAAGTGGAATTACAAAAGTATATGGACTTTTGAACAATATTCTGATTTTCACCTGTAGGCAGAAACACAATTTTTCTTTCCACATATACAGTCTTTTACAGCTGACTTTGGGATACTTATTTAAAGTGGATGTCAGTAATTTTTTAGACCCACTGGTTAGACCCGTCCATTCTCCTGATTGGACAGAAACAATTCAATTTCGTGATATACAGCTGAGGCCTCTCATATTGACTCAACTATTCTCCTCTGACTGGTGGTGGTTATTTTTGTGAATAAACGGCCAGGTTGCTTTGGTGTACAAGATCCCATTTGTCTGAGTCAGATTTTTGACAATGGTCAGATGGTCAAAAATGTGCATTCTTTTAAAAAATGAAATACAATCTTTTAGTCTAATAAGATTAAAGGGGAGAAGGGGCACAGTTAGATGTTTGTGCCAAAGTTATTAGCCTGGATGGATCTAAACAAAAGTCCAGATCTGTTTTTGATGAGGGAATAATGTTGCATTAAGGTTATAAGCTAAAAAAGTCGCTTTAGCATATTGTGTCTTGTTTAAAGTCCTTCCTAGTTTGCTTCGTCTTGTAATGAGGGTGAGCTTCTCTATCATGGAGCCATAGACGCAATTAAAAACGTGAAAAGGATATGTAAATATAAAGCTGGACCAGCAGGGACACTCTGGTCTTGTCCTTCCCAAAGTCCCTGGTCCTCTGCTTTCTACAACTTGAGAGCGAGAAGAGAGAGCAGTGCAATTTTAACATCATCCCCTGATAGAGTTGCGTGTGAATTGTGAGCCTTTACACGCAGCATGTGGCATCTGCCCCCGACAATCACATCTGCCAATTCTTATAACAACGTCCCAAGCTCTCAAGTTTGCCCTGACGAAACCCCGGGAAAAAACACGGCCGCGAGGAGGAGTGTGCGTTTGCGCCTGGCTGTGGCTATGGCTGCGTTTCCTGTGCAAGTGTGCCACCGAGGCGCATGCAAGGACAAAAGCGGATTATTGAGGACAGCTGCTGGTGCTCCCTTGTGTTTCATGTCTGCGCGGAGACGAGAACATTTGCAAACGGGACAGACACAGGAAGCCGCCAGAGAGAAAGACTCGCATGCAGCTGGCCTGAAATTAATACGGTAAAAAAAAAAGGGGACAACTAGCTGGTGCAGATACAAGACCAAGGACCAGACCAGGAGTTCTCAAGAGTCAGGGTAGGACCAGGAGGCAGACCCATGAGCTCCCAAAGCCCAGCCAGGACAGGACCAAGAGTTCCCAATGTCCATGACAGGACCAAGAGTTTCAAAAGTCCAGGACGTCACCAGGAGTTCCCAAAGGCCAGACCAGGACCAGGAATTTCCAAAGTCCAGGACGGGACTAGGAGCTCCCAAATCCTCCAGGCCTCACTCCGTCAGTCATGCTGGGCTAATTACAGATCCAACTCAGGTCCAGAAGACATGCATAACTTGTGATTTTAACGACTGAAGAAATGCAGGCTCCAGAACGAAATAATGTGGTCTGGCTCTTGGAAGTCGCACGGGTCGTGAAAGGGCCACTTTTTCTAATTCTATTGTTTTAATGGTACGATGCTAAAAGTACTAAGGTCGCTACATAATCATACAAACTGAAAAATGCACATTATTCTCAAATATATATTTTTTTATGGGATCCTATTCACCAATAGTACCAGTAGATTTAATATTATTCCAAGTCAAATTTATAACGATGAGTCTATATAATAAATGGTTTTCACGTTTTAAGTTGAATTACAGAAACAAAAGGATATTTGAATTGTCACATGTAGGTAATGTGTGGATTAAGTTGCTTTTAACTTGATTCAAGCGCATATCAATCAGGCATGTCCAAACTAAGGCCCGCGGGTCAAATGCGGCCCTCTATGTCATTTCATGTGGCCCTCTGTCTTGCCAGCATAGCATAAGGACGAGTTCACTTAGTCAGCTCTGCCAACGTAGAAATGTAATACATCTGGACCTCTGAATCCAGTCATTGACTTTGTTTTCCTTGACTTGCCTTGATGAAGACCCGCAATGTCCCTTCAACAATTAAGGACTTTTTCCTCTTTGCTTTCTACTTCATTTTCCCACAGATCCATGAAGAGCACCTGACCACTGACGTTTACTCTACATTTGTGTTATCCCTGTATACACTCACTCCTCTTGGATTTTTTCATTGACTTTGTTTGCCTGTAGCTGGTGAGTAAACATTTGTCATTCAGTCAACTTCACCAACGTCAAACATGAACCAATATAGACATGTCAAACCTCATTTTAGAGCTTAGAGCAGCCTTTGTTGTCGGCCCCTGGACAACATTCAACAGTGCATTTTTCTTATAGTACTCGAAACAAAAGCTACTGGATTCAAGATTTAAGATTTGTATTACTAATTATGTATTAATTATTACTATTAATGTTTTAACTACACATTGAAAACTGCAATCGTTTTTTGACTGAAATTTGAGTACGTTTAGAGTTTTATTTACAGTGATAGCTGCGACTGTCCTGCTGTTGTGTCCGAAGCCAAATTAAAGCTGGGGTACCTTCACTTCATGTTATTACAACTACATCCAGTAATGAGGCTATTGCAGAGAAAGAAATTATGAAATGTATGTTCACATTTGAAGTACAGAAATAGGGTGATAGTGGGTAGTTTTAGAATGCGTCAAAATATTGTGCTACACCTCAGCCTCCGACCGCCACCGCCACCATTCATTCACTGTCATTGATACCTATTGTACACCTTTATGACAGAGAAAACCACAGCCCTATGATGATATCTGCAGAGACACAAGGAGAACATGCAAACTCCACACAGGAAGGCCTGGGGGTGAAATTGAACCCAAGGCAATTGTGCCACAGCGATGCAATTGAATTCATTCATTCAATTAAAACTTATATTGATAGAATTAGAATGTTCTTCAGCTTTTTATACCAGGTTTGGACTTTTTAATAACATTAATGTAATATAGGAAAATGGTTTAAAGGCCTACAAATTGCTCTTTACCGTTACTGTTAAAAAGTCTGATCCATTTTTTTGTGCCATATATTACCCCTTTAATTTACAATTTTACTTTTGATCCTTACCGATGCAGGGGGGTCCAAGAACACTCCAAATTCAACGATATTTATGGACATTGGTCATCCGCCCCTTATGGACCTATGGCTCTATGTGTTTTTTAACATGGCATTTCTTGAGTTTAAACTGTTTGATTTTATGATCTGTTTTTGGCTAATCAACGCTTTTGTAAAGTCCCCCGTGATGACTGCTGTTGTGATTTAGCGCTATAAAAAAATAAATGAATTGAATTGAACTACCAACATCACTACATTGATTGATAACAAATCCTGTGGACTGTAACAAACAACTTTTGGACGACATTTTCAAAACAGAGATATTGTTTTTTTTGCAAATGAACTTGTCATGTTTTCCTCCTGTTCTACTCTCCACACACTGCCGGTTCCTTGGTCTCAACTGAACTCTATAGTAAATAAGTAAATGACTTATGAGTTCATTTTTCAGTTGCCATTTGTGCTGACTCAATATTTGTAATTTAAATGGGGTTTTAAGCGAACAAATTTGAACGATGCAATTTTAACAAATGCTGTAAAATGCAATGCTTTTTAGGGAATTAAAATTACATACACACAATGTAATATAATTGAATGGGGTTAAAACTGGATATCCAGGTGGAACTCTGGCATTTAGAATATTGTTCTAAAAGTCAACTTGCTTCTGTAATTCAACTTACAATGAGAAACTAACATATGGCGGACTCATTACTGTTGGTAATGTTGGTAATTACCCAAAGAAAACAAAATCATGTCATCAACATTCTAACAAACAAATCCATATGTCACTTTGCATGTAATGACTACAGTATATATCTATATATAAGTTTCACATTGAATCACAGATATAAACAAACTTTTTTTGAGTTTTAGCTGTACTTTGAACAGGGAAGGCAAATGGCGCCCAATTTAATTTCTCATAAAAGTAATTGGATTTGGTAACATTTCTGAAATTTTGCCATTCGATTCAGTCTGCCTATTATCCAATTTAAATGACAAACATTGAGTTTAGTTTCTGTGTCATTGCATCACAAAAGGCAAATGAAAAAGCACTCTGTCATGTACTTATTTACGATTTTTTTCCAAACTGTATATCTACTGAGTTCAGCTGAGGCCAGAAATCACAAGGAAGCAGCAGTTTGTTATTGACGGTTTTACCCCTTTCGGTTGCTGAAAGAAGGAGTAAAACTTTATTTGTATGACACTAAAATAGATATGGCCTTAGATAGATGCAAATTGTAATACTGTGTTTTGCGAATGAACTGGGTGTGTATGTTATTATAGTTACCGACATATCTAATTCATTTTCCCCACTCCACCTGCATTCTTTTATATTCCAAAGGTGCTTTTGTAACTTTAAACACACATTTAAACACAGCTTTCTCCCCAACCACACACACACAAGCAGCCGTGTGGGACTGACCGTTCTAGGCATGGGCGGCGAGAGGGAGCCATTGCTCATGTAGTCATTGCTCATGTTGGTCATCATGATGTAGTTTGGATAACCCGTGTATTGGTGGCCTTTCCCGTACAGATCCTGATGCTTCCCTGCACAGAACAGCCAAAAATATGACACACTTAGTTCAAACTTAAGTTGAAAAAGTTGTGCGGTAATTTGAAAGTGAACGCCTCAAATTACACCCTAACTGGAATCATCTCGCTGGCGCTAATTGAATAACGCGACCAGATTTGACTTCTGCTGTTGTGACTGTATCGCTGTCGACGCTTTGAACGACTTTTGCCCCTTTTGTTTGCGCCCCCTCTTCGCGTACTCGTAGAACACTATGCGCAGGACAATGGAAGCCCCCTCCCGTGCCAATTAGCGCCAATTAGCCAAACATACAGACCGTGTCAAAACAGGAGACGCCCCAACTGCTGCTTTTTACGCCTTTGACCTTTTTTTTTCTTCCTCCCCTCTTTATACATACATACAAGAGGCTTCAATAGAAACACCGCTTGCCACTTATGCGAAAGAGAAAAAAAGAAGGGAGGGGAGTGTTTGACGTAGGATCGGGTTCTAAAGGCGAGGCCGTGTTTGGTTTGAGGGGGACTTTATTCAGGAGTGAAAGGGGAACAAAGAGGTGACACGCTCCAGCTTTAAGAACGAATGATGACCCGCAGATGAGAATGGGACGAGAAAGGCCCGAGGGTGACATGTGACAGATTCAGGTGAAGACAAAAGAAGAGTGAGATAAGCTTTCCCAAATAATGCCTTGCTGAGATACTCGAGTGTGTTGGTCAGTTCGCGATGCCATTATAAGTCATGTTTTGAGTCATTTGATTCTTTGATTTGGCATCCCGCATCTACAACGTGGGTCTGGGCAGGCTTGTCACGACTAGACCTGGATCAAACGTGCCGATAAGAGCGGGGCGAGGGTGAGTGATCGCTTGTGTGGCGAGGGAAAACAGCTCGGAAATAAACGTTTGAACAGTTCCGTTTATTGCATGTGGCCTGTCCCATAAAACATAGTGATTTAACAAGCTTTTCCTCAGGGCTTACTTACCATCGTCCGAATGGTCTCGGTGTTTTTCGTGATACGAATCTTGTATTTGGGACTGTCTAACTGCCTGCAAAAGAAAGACAGTAGAAATGAACTGATGCTTGAATCAATTAGCAGGCCATTCTGATGGGCTGTAACATGGTTAGATGGTCCTTGTCCCCAATGCAAAACACAAACACACTTGCCCACTGCTATCTATAGAAGGCTGACGGAGCAATCCGCATCAAAGCTTCAAAAAGAACCACTTCATTAAGCCTCATGTCCTCGAGGGGATTACAAATTGACTTGTTTTCAATATTCTGGGTCCGGTCTCATTTTTTGCCTTTGAATTTATGCCCCCATCGACATTCAAAAGTAAATTTGAAATAGAATTGTAAATGCTTGCGAGGAAATAAATTAAAAATAATCAGACTACTATTTTTTTTTATAAACATATTTTTTCCAAATCTAAATTAGGAAAAGAACCTCCTTATTCCCACACCCCTCCGGATGGCTTCAAGCTGAGCAGGGAACTTCACTGGATTCCTAATTAACATTGAGCCTCTGTCCCGTGCGTCTTGGGGACATAGATGGCAAAAACATGTGGAGTCGAAATCAGAAAGCGCATAACTTAAGCTTTGTATTAATTCTAACGGTTGATGAGAAAAAGACATCAAAGTTGGCTGTGAGCATGCAGGTAAACGGAAGCATTCGGGCTGAGCTGGTTTGGGCCTGTTGCAGAAGGATGCATACACATTTGCTTCCACGCTTTTTTATTGAAATATATTATAATACAGTAAAAGCAATTCTCCTTCTTCAGAGGCCTGTTTTATTTATTCATCCATATCAAAGAAAACCAAGAAAATGCCTTATTTTGAATTCTTGATGTTCTTGATAAACATTGGCCTGTTATTCCAACTATAACAATGGGCATAGCCTCAATTTTTACCCACTAAGACTGCGTGTGTACAGCCAGCTGAAGGCCTTGTTTTGTTATTACCCCTCTATCACTTCATAACGGGCCAATGTGAAGGTCGCCAAAAACATTTAAGGCACGCACAGACAAATGTGAACACCCATCAGAGCATCCTTTAGAGGCTGAGCTTACGTTATCAAAACGCACAGGCCTTTTGCAGCCTGTTTTATTCTAAAATATACACGACATTCCTTGACCTAATTAGAGTTGTATATATGAATGTCTATTTTCATTCATTCATTGTGGCGAGGATGGGGGAGATAATCTTTTTAATTTTGTATTCAATGACAGGCACATAACCATAACATAACATTACATTGAGATATTTGTAATGACCACAGTGTATGTGCAAAACTTATAGGCTAAGTGTAGGTGGCCATCAATATATACTCACATCGTTACTATTCGGGCTGCTTTCTGACTCATGGACCAGGGATGACTTGATGTCCGCCAGGTCTCCCTCCTCCTCCGAGTGGCTGAGCTCCGCGAATATCTGCTCCTTGTGCGGGTCGCCCTCATCTTTGAACGGGATCATTTCATCCGTGGCACACAGCTCCGGGTCTCCGCCACCGCCGCCTGACAACTGTGGCATTTTCTATAAGTCTGTATAATTCAACTATGCCCGCAAAAAAAGACAAGTTAAAACGAATAGAAGAAATCCCACCCCAAACCCCCAAAAAGCCTGTGTATAAAAAAAACAGAAGTGTGTATTTTGTCTCGCTTCCAGTCTTCTACACACGCGTCACAGACATAAATTAAAAAAAAAACATAAATGCAAGTGTGTCAATCGTATATGTTCCAGTAGAAGTCTCAATGCAAAAACAGAAGAAGTGCGAATTCAAACATAAATAGTCCTGTGTTGGTCCAAACAGTTAGGCGAAAACAACCGCTGATGGATACGCGAACAGTTTGGAAGTTGCGAGCGCGTCTGTCATGCTTAAAAACATTTACATCCACAAACGAGGAGCGAAGGAGAGATAAAAGTACACAAAAAAAAGAGAAAACAATTCAAAATGTATGTATATAGCGACAGCGTGGAGCGACTTCCCACTGCTCCCACCGCGATCCCGGTGTAAAGTAAGCCGTGTGTGCGCAGAGTGTGTTGGTATAATGTGCCCCCCCTCCTCCTCCTCCTCCTCCTCCTCCTCCTCCGCAGTCACTGGGAGGAAGGAGAGATGAAAGGCGCCGCCGCTTTGATTGACACTCCTCCACGGAGACTCGGGCTCACAACAAATGGCTGCAGACCGAGCCAAGAGTGAGGCATGCAGGTCGAAAACATTCTAATGGTGCAGATATATTGTACAGAGCACGCGTCAAGGCTTACAATCATTCATAATTTGGATTTTACGCACGGATTGGCGATTGTTTAAAGCTGGCCCCGACTTGTGTATAGTTTGTTCCAACAGAAAAAAAAGTCTTAGATAAAAATGTGATGAACAAATCAGACCACAACATAATCTTAATAAGATATACTATACTATTACTGGGAGTGTTTAACGCTTTGGGCTCTGTAAAAAAATGAAAACCAAATCTGCCTACACCATGCTGTCTTGATCCTATTAGAAAATGTACTTGTTTTTATGCATTCCTTTTTTTCATAACTTGTTTGCACCACATATACCAAAGACAATGCCTTGTTTGTGACTTCCTGTCCCCGAGAATTACGTTACAATATGACGCTTTGGGCTGAAAGATTTTTTTTATACGTTGTGAAGAAATCAGTCTTTTTTGAAAATATGTGTTTTATTTTTTATTTTACCGACTGCAACCAATGCCATATTCTTTGCGAAATAGAGTCCTGTGTGAGAATATGACACTTTGGGCTGAGAGCTGATTGGCTGAGTGAGGGCGGTCTATTTTGTGTTCACTTTTCTGTCTAAAAAGCTGATCTAAAGAGAGGGCAAACATATGAATGTGAAAACTATAGTGATACCAAGCTGTTTTGAGATCTTTTTTTCATTTCTGTTTCATGTTTGTGGGTTAAAAGTAAAGCTTTGACTCCCATGACTATTAAAAACACATAATAATAACTGTATTTATCTTTTATAACGGAACAATGAGTTTACATAAGCCGTGTTTGCACCATAAGGGTGTGACCGGGACTTTGCAAGCCATGTCAAGCAAAACAGATACGGCCTGTACATGTGGCTTACATGCTTGTGATTTTCCACGCCTTCCTGCACGTTCAGATCACCTTCCACCAGCTCTCTCCAGCTCTCACCCGTATAGCGATGATGTAATGTTGTTAAATAGGCCTAAACATGTGATAACAAACAGTGACAGGCCTGGAGCGCACATGCGTCAGTGTCTTTGGATGAGGGGCGCGCTTAAAATAGCCAGTATTTAACAAAGACTCGTTTTTGTGAAAAATCCTCACACATACAGCGTTATTTCGTGCAAAACAAGAGTAATGTGTACAGGGGAGAAAAAGCGAGCAGAGCAGTGCGAGATTGCGTGAGAATCAAAGTTAGGATGGAGAGGCAGATCTTTATAAAGCGCGGAGGTGGGGTTGGCTGGGCGGAGCTGCGGCTGCCTTTGATCTTGCAGCGGCGGACCCTTTCACCCCCCCCCCCCATCCCCCCACCTCCCCTCCACACCCCCACCCCTGTACACCCCTCCCGCCCCCGCGCTCCCTATGCCTTTGTATGACTAAATTTGGTGCGAGCGTGGAGTCGGGCCAACATTTCCACGTGTGCGTTCATCCCAGCTGAGTAAGAGAGAGGGAGAGAGAAGAGGGGTTTTCTTCCGGGTAAGGAGACGCCGAGAAAGAAAAAAAAAGAAAAAAAAAGATCAAAGGCTTTGGGGTTTTGGACGCGGAGTGTGGATTCAACAGAGACTGGCTGCATTCCAGAGGAGAGCGGAAAGACGCGCACACACACGGCTCTGTGCGCGCTCCAGAAGAGAGTTAATTAGAAAGATTTCACACACAGGCACACCCCAACAACCAAACACTGCTTTAAAGCCTTTAACATTAGCGTGCATGTTTGCAGCCAAAGCAGAGAAGAGAAGTGTGTGAAGAGAGGTGAAAGCTGGCTGTTTCCCTGCAATTTTGAAACACAATGTTCTACCTGATTATATTTGATTATTCGCCATTTGTGCTTTGGCACTGTTTGAGACAAGGTAGCTGCTAAAGCCTAGAACCATGCTAACAGGACCAACAATCCTTTCTTCCAATATTTCTTTTGGTGCCTTTTTAGCATTCACCTTGGATATGGTTTAAATAAGAAAGTGGATTTGGAAATAAAGGGATTTCTGGTGTACACAGGCTATTAAGGTGCTAAAAGGAGAAAGGCCTCGAGGCCATCAGAATGAGCTGATGAGATTCAAGCTCTGAAAATGCTTGGAATTAATCAAAGGCCTCGTGCGGCTGTTTAGTCCTCTGCGTTTCATTTGATAATTCTCTTAAGCCGTACAAAAGTCATATTTTATTTCATTGTAAGGTATATGCATTTCATACAGATACATTTGCACAATAAATAGTACATACATGATTATAAATTACAATTGACTATACACATTTAATTAAATAACAGCAAATCTTACAAGTGGTGGTGAATATTGATTTTTACTTACCGGAAATGCAATTCAAACACATATAAGCCATTGGTCCATAGGTAGTGGGATGATCGATATCCATAAATCTTTCTTGTCTTTCTTTCGAAGATGGTCAGAGATCAGACTGCAACACGTGCCTGATTCGGGTCTGTCTGAATGTGAGAAGTATATTAGAACCTTATTTAGATGATTGGTTCTCTCATACATTTCTGATGTTATTTCCATTTGTGTGAAGAACACGATCACAGCAACGCTAACCCACAGCCATAACAATCAGGCGCCATTGTTTCCGGTGTAATGATTTGGGCTGGTGCGTCTTCATGACATGGCAACATGCGATGGCAGTTTTAATGAAGCCACCATTAGAGGCACCTTACACCATTTTCCCCCACATCCAAATGCATTATGGGCTCTGGCAGCGCTCCGTACAGCAGCACAGCTTGTTAAGAGAAGCGGCAAAGTTGGAGTAGGGAGGGAAAACATTTGTAGCCTACATTAGCATTTTCCTCCTAATGAGTTCATAAGAGTGACCCCTCCGTATCGCACATGAAAAGGGAGCCCTCCTGCTGTGCTGTGACCTCGATTCAGTTGTCTCGTGCTTTAGATACTGCCTTTTGCATGTTATATAAGGACGAATATATCAATACACAGAGCATAATTCATTACCGCTGGAGTTGGATCCCACTTTGGTTTCAAATTGTGCAACAGTGCAATTAAAGACAGGATTAAGTTTGCAAAGCTCACTTTTCCAAAATGCATCGCGAATTATTTGGGTGTTTTGTTGGGATGTAGTTAATTAGTAAAAGTGTATTACCAACTAAAGCAGTGTGATTACTGTTTAATGCCAAACGAGGTTTGGGGTAAACCAGAGTCATGATTTATAAGGTTACCATGGTGTAGGAACCTCCTGTAGCCCTCAGTCCTGCTCCTGCCCCTCAGTGTCCTCTGCAGATGTATTTTACAGTGTACAGTGCATACACAGCTTTTGACAGCTGCAGCACCGCTCAGAACTACAACCAACTGGTTTGACATCCCCACAATCACTTTCCAGTAGTCGTGAAGTGGTTAAAAAAGTGTATAAAGTGTGTGCTTTGGGGTTTTACTGCTATTTCGAGGATTTTTCTTTAAATTCTCATTCAACCAAACGTCTAATTTCTTGTTAGCACCTCAATTAACCAGAGGGAGGATTAGAATTTGTTTTGTTTTTTTCTAAATAAAACAATGACCGGCTTCAAATACAGCTTTGTGATTTTCACAAAGTAATTGGTAAAATGATATCAAACTATTTCAGGACTTAGACCGGAGCTTTTGGACAAAAGGGGCAGAGTTACATGTTTATGCCAGAACATCCGCATACCAGCGTGGATGAATCTAGAAACAGCTCCAAAGTCGGGTTTTGATCAGGAAACAATTTTGCATAATATGTCCTCTTGTTTATAATTTCTAATTCAGTGTAATAATATTCGACAATTATCTTATGAACTAAAATACCAGTGTCTACAATATGGCGTTCAACATACTGTAGTGGTTGTTGTTTTAGTCAGTGGGAATAAGTCAGCACGAACATTGTTAATTAAACTTTATGCATATTATTATTATAACCATTTTATGCTATGGACAACAAAGAATATCGAAATGATCTATATATATTTGAGTGTCAATAACATCAAAATCATGGAAATTATCTGAACGTCCAACGCCATCACCTGGAGACGCTCTATTCTATAAGGTTCACGATGATACGATTATTGTTTTTTATAAATTCACATATATCCAAACAAAGTGTGGACAATTGCATAAAATGTCTTCTTCGAGGCAAACAAGTATGTGAATAACAAAGAATTTCTAGTCATTGTGTCAAACAAATTGATTTCTGTGAGAACAACATTCACCCAAGGTCCCCCTCAGATCTATTATTATATCTGCGCTATTTCCAATTCTTCTGCATAAGACTTCAAACAACACAACGCTCATTATCTCCAAAAGTGTTTTTCTCTGCATACTTATGGGCGCATCACGTTTGTTACACACTGAAGT